TTGTACTGCGATATCTAACTCCTCCACCCTCAGATGAGCAATTATTTTCTAACGTTTAGTGAAAATATTGCTGGTAGGCCATCTATATGATTTTCAGCTTTTTCAGGGTCTTCGAGAGTCTGATTGAATGTTGGTGGCTTCTTGGGCGTTTCGAAGTTTGCAGTTCCATAAGTTGCGTCTTCGGCTTCTAATGGCTGTAACGAGTGCGCATGCACCTATTATTATCACGTATAGGGGTATCGTTGTGTGATATAGGACATTGGTTTCATTTGTATCGAGTGTTAAGGGAGGCTCGACTAAAAGTTTGTTCTGGACGTTGTGTAGTCCTTTCAAATCAATAGATTTCAGGTGTACGTGGCTTGGGGTTGCAACTTGTTTCATTACGTCATATGGGATTTTAGTGAGCTTCAGAGGATGACCTTTTATTTCGTCCTTGTCATTCGTAATGGTGAACTCTGCGGTCCGTAGATAGCAATTGAGGGGAATAGTCACTAGGTAACTCCCTTGCAGTAAATTGTAATCTTCTCTTTCGCATGTTAATTGAACTCTCGTCGGCTGAGGGAACGAGACGACGTAGTGCTGATCATCGAGCTGTTCCATTGCTGGCTTTTGTAGTAGTACTGTTGTTACTTGGCAGGATTCCTGTAAGTCTTGGTTTATTATTAGTTGGTGTACGCAGTCTGGGGTAGCCCGGAGTTGAAGGTTGGTTCCTTTATTGCAGAGGTAACTGTGACTGAACTTCGGGCATTCTGCCTCCATGTACACGAATACGTTCTCATGAGTTGCTATGAAAGGGTAAGAAGGGATAAGGGCTTGCCTATCTTTATTAGGTACTACAGATAATCTAAAAAGGTCGTATACGTCTACTGAAACTATGGGAAATTGAAAAGTTATAATTATTTGTTTGTCTACATAGTAAAAACCTGGTCGTATTATATCATAATATTCTCTAAGTTCTAATCCTAAAATTCTATCTCTTCCATACATTAATTTTAACTTATCTATCATATTCCTAAGGACATTAATATCTAACATAGAATGGTGCGTGCTCGCAGCACGTATAAAAGATAAACAGTTTTCTATTCTAATTAGTTCGTATTTTAAGTCTTCTACATTTTCACTCAAAATTGCCAAAATCTGGGAAAATTTTGCGATTTGAATTAAACTCTTTTCTTTATCGGCATTTACATCTAGTAGTATTTCTAACGTTGTATTAATTTTACTCTGATTTTCAACCAATGTGTCCAAAACTTTACTATGGTGACTTATCCAATCTTTATTAAGACTCACATGACTATTTAATTCAGACACTACCTTATTTTGGTTAATCTGTAATTCTTTAATAAGATTGTTATAATGAACGGCATCTGATTGATCGAGGTTCCCGGTTATACTTTTGATTACCGAGCCAAGACCATCTACAAGACCTCTTTTAGCTCTAACGGGCTCTAACGATTTTAATTGATTTGATGTTTTATCTAAATTACCTAGGAGATAGTCAATCTGGTTTTCGAATAAAAGGAAGGTGTCATTATTTAGTCGTATCTCGTACGTATGTAATTGTCTTTTCAAAGAGTCAATTTTGTCTTCAATATAGTCAAGTTTAATGTACTGTAGGTAGGTGTGGTGATGGGTAATGAGTCGCATTGGTCCAAGTTTGTATGGCAGTAATCCAGGTCCGTCGGCTAAGCTCTCAAGTTTTATCTCCAGGGCGTGCGTCAGGGGGATCATCAGTGATAAAAGAGTCCTGTAACAATTGAGTACCTTTAGGAACGCGTTTCAGTCGCGATTTAGCTACTGGCCCACGTTTCTTTGAGGTATATATATGCATGGGAAGGTCCGCAAGGACAACATCCTGCGTGTAACGCGGAGCGATTTTCTGTCGGCTGGCTAAAGGATTTTTAATGAATACCTGTTGTTGCGGGGAGTATTCAACTTCGGGTTCCCGATCTTTATTCCTGTTCTCTATTATAGTGGTACGGTTAGCAAGAGATGTCTCATTGATAATATCATAGACCTTTTTCAGTAGTTCGCTATGGTTTTGAACGTATTGTTGCAGTAGTCGTTCTGTGATGTCAGTATCGATCGGGTTTCGTGGGTCGAAATGTCCTGTCATTAGGTCAAAGGGTCGGCATTTTGTAAAGCTATGGATAGAACTATTATATGCTATAGGGTATGAGATTAACGATTGGTTCATCTTTTTGCTTTAATTTAAGGATACGGAGGTGTTCTAGTAGCGTGGAGTGAAAGCGTTCTATGATGCCATTATCATTAGGGGAATGTGCCAGAATTCTATGGTGGTTTATCTTATGAAATTTCGTAAATTCGACAAAGAGCTGGTTGGTAAATTCGGTACCATTATCGGTTATTATAGTAATAGGGACTCCGTGATGGGTGCAATACTGCAATAAAGCTTGGATGACACTAACGGCAGTTCCATCGCGTAGGTGGTATGCTTGACCATATTTCGTAAAGACATCCATGAAAGTGACATATTTCTCGTTTTGTACTGTGAATAAGTCCATGTGGACTGTCTCAAAAGGTTTCATGGCTGGGGGTACAATGTTAAATTTTGGCTTGATAGGGTTTCTATCGTATTTCGCCTGCCCACAAGTGGTACAGTCGTTTATAAATTTTGTTACGTGTTCCTTCATTTTTGGCCAGTAAAATCTGCGTGAAAGGGCAAGATAGCATTCGGTAATACCACGATGGTTGGTCTTACCGTCATGGTAATTGTGGATTATTTCCTGTTGGCGAAGATAATCTTTAACATTTTCCAATTCTACTTTACTTAACATGAGGTACATGGCGGAACTTCTAAATTGATTCTGAATAATGGGGATGATTTCATACATACCCAGAGGGGGTTGTATAAGAATGCCAGTTTTAACTTTTGGATTAGCGTATTCTTTAACGGCATTAATTACGTCTTGTTCTAAGTTTGATTTAGAAAGTTGTATTGCTATACGAGTATGGGTGTCGAATGGCTTAGTTACGATTGGCTTTCTTTTTACATCATCTACTATGGTAAAAATAATTTGTCTATGAAATCTGTTAATAGGGTCGTCTGTAATGGGAACTTCTAAAATTGGGTGCTCTGCACTTGTATGTGCCGTCGCTGTGGTCGAAATGACTTTAGAGTGAGGTCCTTCTGAAGCATTGGGTAAAATTGAGCAGAGCTCGTCTACTATGGACTCAATTTCTTCATTGTGTATTTCTACCCTGGAAAGAGCGTCAGCATTGGTGTTGGATTTTCCTTTCTTATATATCACTGTAAAGTCATATTCACTAAGTCTCAGTCGCCATCTTGTCAGTCGTGAGTTAGGCTCTTTTAAATTTACCATCCACTGTAAAGGTTTATGGTCAGTCAAAATTTTAAATTTTCGTCCGAAAAGGTAAGGTCTGAAATATTTT